TAGTTAGCCACCAGCTTGTGGTGAGCCCTGCTGTATAACGGAACAAAATCACCCAGTCCTGCTCCACCCCGTGATCGGTGCAGGTTGGACCTTTGTGCACCATAGGATTTTCATTGACTGATTTTTAGAAGCAGATCTCCAGGCCTTTCTTCCTAGTCTTTCTTAGTCTAGAAGTTCCCCGGAAACCTGTTCAGTATCATAGCAACAGGCAAGCTGCCACTGACCAATGGGTGGTGCTGCCCACAAGGTGCTTCGGCTGGGAGTCAAACCTGAGTCCCCCGCATGGAAGGCAAAGATTCTACCATTGAACCACAGATGGCCCTTGTAGTATTTGAGGTCCTTCATATTCATTACCAAATGGACACTGAGTAATCATGTGCCATGCACAGCTCCAAGTATTGGATGTTAGCTGAGAAGAAGAAGGTCCCACCCCCACAGAGCCTGCATTTTCTGATGTGGATGTGTGTGGGGAGGAAAAATAATAATGCCATTACATTTTGGCATTTTTGGCTAGACACCATTCTGGGCATTTGCAACATAAAATGGCTGGTTTAATCATACGACCACCCCTGAGGTGGGTACTGTTATTGTTCTCATTTCACAGATGAGGACACTGAAGCCCCCAGAGGAGGTCATGTAACCCCACCCCACGGTCACAGGCTGGCCGGGGTCATTGGGCCACAGAGGCTAGGCCTCTGCCCTGTGCCCCATCCAGCCACTCCTCACTGCATGTGGTGAGCTGGGAGCGTAGAGAGAACGAGTATTGATGAAGACGAGAACAGAGACCGGCAGGCTGCCCTTCTCGGAAGAGCAGACCCTGCCAGGGGTCTATGGGGTCAGAGCTATCGTAGTGATAAGAAGAGGTGATTTGCCTTTTCTTATCATACTGGAGTTTTCCAGAAGCTACATGACGCGTGACATTGCAACACGCTGACTACAGGAGCAGATAGGAGAACCAGCCATCTTTTTCTAAGCCAGGCAATAACATGATTTGCAGAAATGTCAGATTCTTCTCACTAAATTCGGTTTTGGAAAATAGAACTGTTCTTATAAAAATAATATTTATGTTAATGTATAATGACTTTTTTAAAATGAGTGAATAAATACGAATTTTTTTCTTGGTTTTAATTTTCTGTAAAGTAATTAGAGATAGATACAGCCCACACCAGCATGTTTGAGAGCCACGATTCTAGACGATTCACTGCGGCTGCTGTGTGGCGCTTACATGTAGGAGGGCGAGGGTGAAGATGGGGGCCAGTTACTTGGCTTTTGTAGTTGAGGCGAGCAGCTGAGAGGACGAGAAGTGGCTGTGTCTGGATTGTTTTGAAAGCGAAGGCAAGAGCATTTGCTGTTGGCTTGCACGTGTATTGTGCAAATGACTGGTGACCGTGTTGCTAACTAGAGAGGTGGCAGCTTGGCTTTGGCCTTTTTTCCCTCGGCAAAGGAAGCCTTCCCCTGCCTCTCATTTCGGATTTTACCTGTGAGCTCCCTGCTCCTGGACTGTTGCCCATTCAAGCAGATGCCAGGTGAGGTGAGGCCACGTACTGGTGGGCTTCACATTCTGTCAGTATGTAATGGTTGTGACAGAGCAACAAGAAAGTATCTCACGTCATGGGGTGGTTGTTAGTTACAGTCATGTTGGCTCTGACGCGTGGCGACTGCGGGTGTAAACAGAACGCACCATTTTCGTGATGTTGGTATGTGTGAGTCCACTGCTTAGGCGGCTGTGTCAGTCAGTCTTACTGGGGGTTTCCCTTGTTTTTACTGGCCCTCTCCGTTACCAAAAGACCTCTGGTTGCTTAATGCCTAAGGTATTTGACTGCTAACCAGAAGGTTTGAAGTTCAAACGCACCAGCCACTCCGTGGTAGGGAGACGATGCAATCTACTGTAAAGATTTACTGCCTCGAAAATCCAAAGAGGTCACTGTGAGTTGGAATCAACTCGATGGCTATGAGTTTGGTTTGGTTTTTTGGTTCTGCTTTACCAACCAGGATGTCCCTTTTAACGATTGGTCTTTCCTGATGACGCATCCGAAGTGAGCAAGTTGAAGTCTCACCATCCTTGCTTCTAAGGAACATTCTCATTGCATTTCTTCATGTCAGACAGCATTTTACTTAAAAAGGCAAAGATATATCTATTTTGTGGTAGATATGTCTGGACTGACTTACAGAAAATAGGCACTGTATACTTAGAAATAGATGTTTTGTTTTATCATTCCTTTTAATCTTTCCAGATCAGTTTAATTGAGTATCCCAAGATCATAATGTGAGCTCTTAGCAATCTTAAGAGCTCTGGTAGCGTAGTGCCTAAGGCACTTGATTGCTAACCAGAAGGCTGGTGGTTCAAACCCACTAGCCACTCCTCAGAAGGAAGGTTGGGCAATCTACTTCCGTAGTGATACTACCTCGGAAACCCAAGGAGTGGTCGCTATGAGTTGGATCTGATACGACAGCAGTGACTTTGGTTTTTTTAGTTTAGCAGTCTTAAGGGGAAAATAAAAAGAAAACTAAAAGATTTGCGCTGTGAGATGGAGACCAAAATGTGCCAGTGGAGATGAGAAGCCCAGGGAGGGGGATGATTAGTGTCCCGTAGAGTCCGAGCGTAGATCCCTGTGAGCAAAGCCCCAGGCAAAACAAAGTGGCAGGAACCGGACATTTGTTTTATCAGGTGAGGGAGGGAAATAGATGCCAGAGCAGTAGTTCTTACCTTAAAAACTTCGGTAGCAGCTCTAGCCCAGTTGACAAGGGGAAAATGGAAAATGCCTTTCTCTAATGATGTGTGCACCTCAGTGAGGATGATGGTGTCCCTGCATTTCAAGTGAGGAAACTGAGAGGAAGAGCTCAGGGAACTTGCTCAAGGTCACACTAATGATAGAGGGAAGCTAGAATTGGATCCCAAGTTGGCCTGACTCCAGAGAGGTTATATTTTTTTTTTTTTTTTTTTTAGTTGTGATTTGGGTGAAAATTTACAGAGCAAATACACTTTCCATACAGCACTTCACATACACTTTGTCTCATGACATTGATCACAATTCACCACAATGCAGTAGCTCTCCTCCTCCTTCCTCCCGACAGTCACTTCTTCCCTGTGTCCATCCCTCCATGCCCTCCTGCCCCCTGAGCTGTCTCCCTGTGCATAAACAGCCCTTCTTTCTCCCATGCTTGTTCTCTCCAAGGAATGTATCTACCTCAGGTAAATGTTCAACTTATAATGCCTGTCTGTTGTTTGGCTGGAAGCCACAGTGTAGGTTCAGTTCCAGACCTGAAAGGCAGCTAGGGGCCATAGTCTCAGTGGTTCCATCAGGCTCTATCTATCAGACCAGCAAACCTGGTCCCCCCCCCCCTTTTTTTTCCACATGATTTTGAGTTTTGTTCCACATTGTTCTCCCTCTCTATCCAGGATCTCCTACATAGATCCCCTTCCAAGTAGTTGACAGTAGTAGCTGGGCACCATCTAGTTCTTCTGGTCTCATAGTCTTATAGGCTGCAGATTGGATGGTGTACCAGTGGCTAGGACTGAGGTTATATTCTTAAGCACTCTCTGTTTTAAATCAGATCTTTTGAGAACTTTTGCATTTAGTTTTAATGTTCCATGTCCCTAATTTTCCACCAAAAATAATTACTTTGAACTTTTTGTTTTAAGTTTTTATTTGTAACATTAATTTTAGGAGCTCTGGTGGTGTAGTGCCTAAGGCATTTGACTGCTAACCAGAAGCCTGGTGGTTCAAACCCACCACCCCTTGGAAGGAAGACTGGGCAATCTACTTCTGTAAAGTTTACTGCTTTGGAAAACTGAAAGGGGTCACTATGAGTTGGAATAAACTCTATGGCAGTGAGTTTGGGGTTTTGGTTTTGGTGGAGTAGTGGATAAATTATTTGGCTGCTGACCAGAAGGGCAGCAGTTTGAACCCACCACCCTCTCCACAGGAGAAAGATAAGGCAGTCTACTTCCATAAGAATTTACAGCCCTGGAAACCCTGCGGGGCATTTCTGCTGTGCCCTATAGGGTTGCTATGAGTTGGAATCAACTTGATGGCAGTGGTGTGTGGTTTTTGGCTTAATGTTTATTTTAAATAATAAGGTGATAACTTGTCATAAATAAATGACTTTGTATTATTTTTGGCTTAATGTGTGTTTTAAATGATAAGGTAATAACTTGTCACAAATAAATGACAGTGTATTTTTCTTTATAAGTCTTTTGTGAACAGATAGTTTCTATTTGTTATAGTCATCAGTCTTTTTCCCCCTCTCAATTTCTAGAGCAATTTATTTCTTATTTCTGGTTGCTTCATGAACTCAGATAATTTCTACACTATTAACTGTAGAATTTCATCCCATTTAGGGCTTAATACCAAACTTTGCAACTAAAATACAAGACTAATGAGAGTTTCATTTTAATAATATAAATGGACAGATTTTCTCTCTCTCCCCTTTTTTTTTTTTTATTGTGCGTTGGGGGCAAATTTACAGAGTAGATTTGCTTTATGTTCCACACGATTTGTGCCGCTTTGATTTCACGGCCCGGTTACCATCCCCAGCTACAACTAACTCTCCTTCCCTCTCCTCTCTGTGACTACCTGCGCCCCCCCAGCCTTTCTTCACTGTGCGCTCCTGTCTGTCCAGCTTTCCCTCTGGGTCAGTGATTGCTCTAAGGGGTGCATGGCCCTGGGGTAGGTGGGTGCATCGCCCTGGGGTAGGTGGGTGCATCGCCCTGGGGTAGGTGTTCTGCATGTAGGTCTTTCTACTGTTGGGCTGAGAGCCAGTCCACGGAAGTGATGGGCTTTTTTCTTAAAAACATGGGTTGTTGTTGTTGTTGTTGTTATGTGCCGTCGAGTCGGCCCCGACTCATAGCGACCTCTCCTTGGGTTTCCGAGGCAGTATCACTACGGAAGTAGGATTGCCCAACCTTCCTTCAGAGGAGTGAAAAACATGGGTATGAGTTTAAAAAGGATTCTAACCTTGTATATTTCTTTCTTCTTTTTTTTTCCTCCCTGACACAGTTAATAAGCATAAGCCGTGGCTTGAGCCCACCTATCATGGTATCATTACAGAAAACGATAACACGGTGCTGCTCAACCCTCCCCTGATCGCCCTGGATAAAGACGCGCCTCTGCGCTTCTCAGGTAAAAGGATGGTTTTGATTTACTCCTGATAAATTCAGACCAGATGGGAGGTCCTTTCTATACCCCATTTCATATCATTTCTGAACCTTTCTGGAAATGTCTCAATTGTAAAGTGTCATCTCTGGCACCTGTGGGCCACATTTTTTTCCTTTTAATTTTAATAGTTGAGGTACCTGCCCCAAAACGCTGGTTCTTGGAGCTGAACACCAAGAACATTGAATCACCTCTTTATATATACCTTGTCTTGATGGAGCCAGATAGATGGTGTCTAGACCAGTGTGTCTCAGGCTTAAGTGTGTACACAGAGTACCTAGAGGTCTGATTAAAATGGAGATTCACTCGGTTATGGGGAGAAGGGGACTTAGGACTCTGCATTTCTAACCTGCTCCCAGGGAGTCTGATGCTGGCTGGTCCTTGGGCTGCACCTGAGGGTGAGCATCTAGATAATCACAGCTCAAGATTTTCCTTGCACTACCTGGCCTACACATGTCTGAAAACACTACTCCAAAAACATTAAACCGTCTTTCTAGAGAAATCCTTTGGGCTTAGATTTTACTTTTAATACATGTTTAACCTGAGTTACTTCATTAGATTGTAATACCTGAGTGTTTTATAGAGACAGAGCTCTAGGATTGCTTAAAAGTTTTATAAGGTATTTTCTATTGATGCGCAGGGAGCTCTGTAGTGCCTAAGGCACTTGACTGCTAACCAGAAGGCTGGCGGTTCAAACCCATCAGCCACTCCTTGGAAGGAAAATGGGGCAATCTACTTCCGTAGTGATACTGCCTCGGAAACCCAAGGAGGGGTTGCTATGAGTTGGGCCCGACTCGATGGCACATAACAACAACAACAACACATTGATGCACAAGAGTTACATGTTGACTTAAAAAAAAAACAAACCAAACCTATAAAGAGAAGCAATTTAGAGCTAAGCCACAATAGCCACCTGATTATATTTGTTAAGTCTGTGCTTTCCTTCTGGAGATTTTCATGGGAAGTGTGTGTGTGTGTATATTTTTTTCCAGATATAATTCACATACTGTAAAATTCATCCTGTTAAAGTCTATAATCAGTGGTCTGTAGTATATCCACAAGGCTGTGCAGTTCCACTGTCTAATTCCAGAACATTTTCATCACTTGTGCTCTGTAGTGGGAGCTCTGGTGGCATAGTGCCTTTAGTTGTCACTTCTTATTCCCCTCTCACCAGCTACTGGCAGCCAGCAATCTACTTTCTGTCTCTATATGTTTGCCTATTTTGGAATTTCATAATAAATGAAATCATGCAATAATGTGGTCTTTTGTGACTGGCTCTTTTCACTCAGCATGTTCTCAAGGTTCATCCATGTTGGAGCTTGTACCAGGCCTTCATTCCTTTTTATGGCTGAGTAATAGTCCATTGAAGGAGCTCTGGTGGTTCAGTGCCTAAGGCATTTGACTGCTAACCAGAAAGTTGGTGGTTCAAACCCACCAGCTGCTCTGCGGAAAGAAAACCGGGCAATCTGCTTCCATGAAGATTTACCGCTTTGGAAATCCAGTGTGGGTTGGCTATGAGTCAGAATCGACTCGATGGCAGTGAATTAGGTTTTGGTTTTAATATTCCATTGCATAGACATACCATATTTTGTTTATCCATTCCTTCCTTGATGGACATTTGAGTTGTGTCCACTTTTTGGCTATTATGAATAACGTTGCTGTGAACATTTGTGTACACGTTTTTAAAAAGATACAGGTTCTCGATTCCCTTGTGTTTATACATAGGGGTGGAACAAATAAGAGAAATATGTTTTTTTCATGTATTGATACTCATATGTTCTTGATTGAAGCTTGGCCCTCTTCTCTGCTGGAAGGGTGATCCCCTGCATAGAGTGAGGGAGGGAACACTTCCCATGTCACCTTCCCTTCCTTGCTCTTCTGTTTCATGGTCCACATCCATCCACAGCACAGAATGCTGTCTTCATGAGGCTATAATAGACAGTGAGTCAGGAACACAGGCCATAGGCCCAAATGGCCCGCATTTGAATCCTGGCTCTGTTTCATATTGGCTGTGTGGCCTTGGGCAAGTTACCTAACCTCTCTGTGCCTCATTTTCATCATTTATAAAATGGGGATAATAATGTCATATACCTCATAGGGTTTTGGGAACACCAGCTTATTTATTTAGAATAAATAAATTCTAAATTTATTTATTCTTTATTTTTATAAAGAGATTCTGATGCTGCCGATACTAGAATCTTTTAAAAATAAATGTTTTCACTTAACAATCTGTGAGAATTTTTTTTCCCATCTTTCTATATGGTGTTCCATTTTCCCACAGAGTTTCTTAAATAACTTTCCTGGGTAAGGCAAAGGCCGTATCAGGAGCCTTCCTTTGATCTTAGACTGGTTTTTGTAGTGACACTGAATTTTATTTGGCACCATGATGAGGATGATGATGATGATGGAGGCCAGCAGTGTCTTTCATCAGTGTGCCAGATGCAGTTCTAAGTCCTTCACATGGGTCATGTTCTCTGATTCTTCTCACCAACCTCACGGTAGGCACTCTGCTATCCCTGTTTCCCAGATGAGGAAACTCAGGGTTCTCACCTCCCTTTTTCTCCACTGAATCCCTCGTACCTAGAACAGTGTCTGGGATGAGTCCACGCTCCATAAATATTTGTAGGTGGAATGACTGAGCTTGGCCAGGATCACACAGCTTTAACCCAGCAGCCTGACCCTCCAGCTTGAGTTCTCAGGCTCCCTGTGTTGATTTGCATGACGTTATCTTGAAAATACGTGCACTTTATGGTTTGTAGTCTCATTCCATTACAAGGCCTGTGTGTGGGTAGCTCCAGAAATAAATGCGTGTCATGTTGGAAGCTCACGGGCGCTCATGGTGACGCATCTGTAGGCTCGTTTGTCACTGATCAGACGTTGGCCTTGAATGTATGGGGTCTAGTGCAGAATGCTTTGTTGGGGGGAAACTAAGAATAAAGTCTTGGTGTTTGTCAACTATTTTAGGAAACATCTGTTTGTTGTTAGTTGCCACTAGTCAGTTCAGACTCCTGGTGACCTGTGTGTTTCAGAGTAGAACTGCTTCATCAGAGTTTTGAGGCTGACCTTTTGGAAGCAGGTCACCAAGCCTGTCTTCCCAGGTGCCTCTGGGTGGGTTCGAGCTGCCAGCCTTTTGGCTGATAACCTTTTGTGTCACCCAATTAAAATGATTTTCTCTGCCCCTTTCCCTCAATTTGCCAGAAGCCTGGGTTGATGTCTGTTAGGATGAGTGTGAGAAGCTTGGCAGGATGGTGGTTAAAATCCAGTCATAGGGTGGGTATTTTCAGAATCAGCTCACTCAATCTGCTTGTGTTAGGTACTTCCTGCTAGTTATAAGGACATGGTTTTTTGGTTTTTTTTTTTTTTTTTTAAGTAAGTGATTAAAATGTAAATCAAGCATATGGGGCAGAAGGTGTCCTTTCATTTTTGATTAGAAGATTATGTCTTATATAAGCAGAAACTTTGAGATGAGGTCAATGGTGTTCCCTTTATTTATTTTATTTTATTTTTTGTTGTGATTTGGGTGAAGATTTACAGAGCAAATTCACTTTCCATACAGCAGTTAACATACACTTTGTCTCATGACATTGACCATAGTTTACCACAATACAACAGCTCCCTTCCCACTTCCTCCCCATAGTTACCTCTTCCCTGTGCCCATCCCTCCATGCCCTCCTTCCCCCTGAAGCTGTCTCCCTATGCATAAGCAGCCCTTCTTTCTCCCATGATTGTTCTCTCCAAGGAGAGTATCTACTTGAGGTAAATGTTCAACTCATATGCCTGTCTTTTGTTTGGCTGGAAACCACAGGTATGGGTTCAATTCCAGACCTGAAGGGCAGTTAGGGGCCATAGTCTCAGTGGTTCCATCAGGCTCTATTGGACCAGCAAACCTGGCCCCCCCCCCCTTTTTTTTCCCCTCCAAATGATTTTGAGTTTTGTTCCACATCTCTATCAAGGATCTCCTTGATACATAGATCCCCTTCCAAGTGGATGACAGTGGTAGCCGGGCACCATCTAGTTCTTCTGGTCTCATAGTCAAATAGGCTGCAGATGGGATGGTGAATGGTATTCCCTTTAATGTATGATACTGCTTGAAAGCAAACTGCATCATACTATGGCAGCTTTGCAAGCAATCGTTTATTAGTGAAGTTTGAGATGACTAGACTAGCAAGCACTGCTGTGGTTGAATGCTTGCAGTTCATTTAATGGTTTAAATGGTTTCCTAGAGGCAGAAGAAGTCTCTCTCTGACTGATGGCAGCGATGCTTTGTTGAATAACTGACCACATGTTTTTGAGGCCTCACTTAGGCCTCTAACAAGTGTTAAAATGTTGAAATCATAAGCGCAAGGCACAAACTAAAATGTACATTTTGCATGTTTAGTGGAGATTTAAAGAGCCCTGGCAGTACAACAGGAACCCTGGTGGCGCAGTGGGTAAAGCGCTCAGCTGCTAACCAAAAAGGTCGGCAGTTCAAACCCACCATAACATGGAGAAGAGATTGAAGTTGTCAAGGATTTCGTTTTACTTGGATCCACAATCAATGGCAGTGGGAGCAGCAGTCAAGATCAAAAGACATATTGCCCTAGGTAAATCTGCAGAAGACCTCTTTAAAGTGTTAACCAGAGAACATGTCACTTTGAAGACTAAGGTGTGCTTGACTCAGGTCCAGGTATTTTCAGTAGCTTCATATGCACGTGAGAACTGGACAGTGAGTAAGGAAGACCAAAGAAGAAATGATACATTTGAATTGTGGTGTTGGCCAAGAATATGGAATATACCATGATCTGCTTGAAGAACGGACACATCTGTCTTGGAAGAAGTACAGCTGGAATGGTCCTTAGAAGGGAGCATGGCCAGACTCCGCCTCATGTACTTGGGTCATATTGTCAGAAGGGACTGGTCCCTGGAGAATTATCATGCTTGGTAAAGTAGAGGGTCAACACAAAAGGGCAAGACCCTCAATGAGATGG